AAAAAAAAAAAGCTCGTAAAACGGTGAAAAATGAACGGATTGAATTGATTTTTTTATCACATCTCAGGAATGTCATTGGACGGGTCAGATGAAAATTTCAAACCTCAAGTCGTAAAACGCTGGCGTCAGCGAGCGTTTTTCTCGAAAACGGTCGAAATTTTAAAACACTCGCGGGCGAGCGGCAAAAATTTTCCGACCTTCGCCAATAATTTTCCCGGAGTCTGGTGACCGAGTACTTTCGTTGAAAAAAAAAATTTTGAAAATCCGAGCACGCTAAGTAATTTTCCCAGAAAAGCGTTTTTTTCCTTGTTCTATTATATAATAAGATGGTTTGTCAATGAAGGATTAGGCTAAAATAATTATAATTTTTTTATAAGTTAATAATAAATTTATATATAATGAGTCTATTTTAGTCCAAATATAAGTTGTATATTTAATTGTAGGAATTTACTGTGAATTTTATTAACTTAAATTAAAATTTATTGTGTATACATTTGGAAAGTAAAAACTCAATTTTTTATTGAGATTATATTAAAAATGTGACAAAGCTTTTATTTTATAACATAAAATATTATGATACTGAAGATTATTATACTATATTAAAATACACGGCTAAGCATAAACGAGTTTATAAGCTAAATTTTTTAACTTGACGTAGTTATTTTTGAATTTATGTTAACTTGATTTTAACTTAATTTATATTTCGTTCATTTAATGACTAATTTGCCCACAAAACCTCTTCAAAATAAAATTCTAAATACTTTAAAATATTATTTTTATACAAATTAGTTCAAAAATATTTGTCTTATTTAACGAATAATATGTAACATCTATTACACGGTTTCTTATTGCTTAATGTCAATTTTATTGATAAGAAACTTCTGCGAAATCGCAAGTCTCGGACAGTGACTAGCTGAACCTTGTCATACGGGTATTCTTGTAAATAAATTCTATTAATAGCTATCTGTCGCATTATCGTTTACAGGAAACGTTCAATACATAACCGGTCTACTATTATATATTATAATGTTTTTGATAACCATTCTNGGTCTACTATTATATATTTTAATGTTTTTGATAACCATTTTCTTTGCATAGTCTCTATTAGGGTGTCCCTTGTTTTTAAAATTTTAGTTATTCTTCAGGTTCACATCCCAAATTTGTGTGTATACATATAAAAAGTTGCTACAAAAAATACCAGGTCTATCAGAAAAGTTTAACCCGTACTGATTTAGGGTTGATGATCGGCCAAAAGACGTATTTTTTAGTTTTTAACAATTGACCCTTAAATTAACGCTGTTACAACAAAAATTATAGAAACCAAATTGTAGATCTAATTATTTTGTATAAATTAAGTTCTAATCGTTTTTCTTCTAAATCCATTTAGTTCACCAAAAAAATATTAAAAAATGTAATATTTGGTAAAATGATCAAAATTGGTATATTTACCAATATTCCATCGTATCAAACAAATCATATATGCGTATCACATATCTATTCCTTGAATAGAAATAAAAAACTAAATTTTAATGAATATTTTGATGTTACAAAAAAAAAAATGAAAAACACCAAATTTAGTTCTGTAAAGAGATTTATTTCAAGTTTATACATGATACTCTACATGTTCCCTTTAAAAAATCAGAAAAATGTAAATAAATAACTTATTTTGTTTTTAATTGAAAAAAATATTAACATATTGTTTTACACCAAAACATAATAAAATTATTTTTTTACAATTTTTATCATAAAATGATAAAAATTCTTAGTTTTGAAATTTTTGGAAATTTTGTTCTAAAACCAGTTCAGGAAATTTTATAAGCTTTTATTTAGTGTATAAATATTACTGGACTCGTCTAGGAACTTTGTTAAAAGTAAAAAAACCGAACGGCAGTCGGAAAATATGTATTGATTACGACCTTATATATGTTACAGCAATTACTGTTATACGAGTTACTTGGACACTCAAGTACCCTTTGAGATCTATGCCATTCGATAGAAAATGTTATAAGCTTTTCATTGATATATAATTATTAAGTGAACACGTCTCGGAACTTTTTCAAAACTACAAAAAACCACCGCCAGTTTGAGAATACATATTGTTTACTATCGCAAATTTACACTAGCAATTTCTCTATTATGGGTTATTTGGACACTCGAGTACCCCTTGAGTTCTATATGGTTCGATAGGAAATTTTATAAGTTTTTCATTGATATATAATTATTAAGTGAACACGCCTCGGAACTTTTTCAATAGTACAAAAAACCACCTCTAAATTGAGAATACATACTGTTTACTATCGCAAATTTACACTAGCAATTTCTCTATTATGGGTTATTTGGACACTCGAGTACTCCTTGAGATCTATGTAATGCGACAGGAAATTTTATAAGCTTTTCATTGATATCTAATTATTAAATGAACACGCCTCGGATCTTTTTCAAAAGTACAAAAAACCGATCGCTGTTTTCAGAATAAAAGCGAATACACGGCTTTATTGTTAACTTTCGGATGTATTTCAGCAATTTCTCTCATACGGGTTACATGGACATTCGAATACCAGTTTTGATTAATGTTTTTGGATAGGAAATTTTATAAGCTTTAATTGGTGTATAATTATTTCCTAGAGTCTTCTCGGAACTTTTTGTTAAAATTAGAATATAATATAAAATTCATTTAACAGTTTGCGCCCTCTAGCGGTATATATTCTAACTATGTCTGATTAGAAATTGCTAGAAAGGAATTGCTAACTTCACACACATTAGATTTTGTGGTGGTTTAAATAAATATTGTTATCATAATATTTGTTTTAAAACCGTTGATATCAGCTGTTTGTAACATTAATGTCAATTTTATCTAACACTACTAAAACCTTGATTAATGTGTTGGACATATATGCTAAGAACTATGAAAGAAGTTTAAAACATTAAAGCGGGTTATTTAAAATGATTTACTACACTAGTGTACTTTATGTATAACTACTACTACCCATTTACTATTCAATTATGTATTATTGTTAAATAATAATTTATTTTACAGGATATATATTTTATGCGAAGTTTTAAAAATAGCACTCCTAGGGGTAAATTATACACAAAATTTTACAATAATATGCGATCGCTGAAGACAAGCGGATTAATCGAAAAAAATAATAAAAATATTAATCTGAATAATTTTTCAACAGATAACTTTATTATAGGTAAAATATTTATTGTTAAATTTAACCGTTGGTGCAACTATAATTAAATTATTTTTAATTCACCTTAAAAAATAAAAAAATAATTTTATTATAAATTTATTTGCCTTAAAAAATTTACAGAGCAATTTAAAAAAATTTAGTAGGTAAAGACTCTATATTCTCACTTAGTTGCATCAGTGAATTTAATTGAAATATTTTTTTAATTAATAATCATTAATTTATTTAGAACCAGAAGAAGAGGACATCAGAGATATTATCGACATAATAAAATATGATCATTTAAATATTCCATTTACGAAGTTACAAGAGTATTGGGGTGCTACTGTCAATTTTAGACTTAAAAAGATTAGAGAGGCTAAAGAAACAAACGAAATAATAAATGAATGGGCTAGTTATAGATTACCCCTTGGATATAAACTCGTATGTAAAATGTATTGCTTATACATAAAATAATTAAATTTAAGGATTACATTTTTGTAGGTGGATATTGACTTTAAACAACTTATCAAATATAATAGTATGATGGTCGATTCATTTGATGATTCTTACCAAGATATTATGAATATTATAGAAAAACACAATAAAGACCGAGATAGCAAAATACTTGTAGAACAGCTTTCTCAAAGATCAGACATTTGTCAAAGTAATAATACTTTATTATAAATATAAATCAAAATATTTTAGCAGTTTAATAAAAGGATATTTTAGCATTAAATTAATTATTTTCTTGGTCAGGTGGAAAAAATACAGCATTCTTCTATCTATTAAGCTCGCTTTTCGTGCCAACGTCGAGAAAAGTGACGAGAGATGAAAATGGAAAAAAAAATATCATTAAATATTCTATAAAGGACTCTCAAAATTCATTCATTAGTTTCCACGAGACAGTTGACCAAGCTGAAGCTTATATCGCATTACTACAAAGTAGAAATCAGCCAATACAACCATTCATTTTAATTATTGGCACGATTTTAAAACCACGAGATATATTATTATATTTTGATGCCATCAAGTATAAAATTTTTTCAATAATAAGAGCAGTGGATGTCTGCTTTAAGATATTCCATGTTTTTAATTTAGAATACCCACTTCCATCATGCGCTGTCTGGACATTTATTCAACAATATTACTACAAATTATTTTTAAAGAACGACTACTCCCATCAAACAGTAAAACAAGTGCTACATGATCTCAACAAAATAGTAAAATAATATTATTATATTAATATTATATTGAAAAATCCTTTTATTTTTTCACTTTATATTTTTCTTCTTTTCATTTGTATTAATTATTTGTAAATTATTAATTTTTATTTGATTATTTAAAATTAATTTTACATCCAATGTATAAAGTTTATACTATAAACAGATTGTAAGCTTTCTTAAAATTCATTAAAAATAAAAGGTGATAAATACGCCGTTTCAGTTTATATTCCATATGTCTATTTAAATACACATGTGTAAAGGTTTTATTTATAATTTACTATTGAAAAATTAAAAGTTGTTCATTAAATTATTTTTAATATTATAAATACTACACAATATATATATTAAATAACGTGTTTATTTAAGTAAATTATTACCATAATTAAGATTAAATTTATAATTTAATATGGGATTTTATTTGTACACTGGTATGTTAATTTAATAAAAATTCATTATCATATTGAAAAAAATTTACTTAATTCTTTAAAAATTATTTCATCACCATGAAAAATTATTTATCAAAGTGATTTAGATATACAATAATAATTCGTCATAAGT